TCCACCGCAAGCACCAAAAAGGAGGGCAAAGAAACGGGGAAAGAAGAGGGGGAAAGAGGAGCGGGAACGAAGGGCGGAAGCTCACCCGAAGCTGCGCACTTGCATCTTCTGGTAGTACCGCAGCTCGACCCGGCACTCCTCCCCGATGGCCTCATCATACACCAGCCCCTGCAGGCACTGCAGGATGCTGCCGCCGCAACCCGTCTTGCCTGCGTGTGCGTTGGGGGTGGGGTGGGGTGAGAGGTCATTGCAGCAGAGCAGAGCACCGCTGTGCACGCTGCGTGACACGCAGCGTGACGGGCGGGGTCGGGCGTGGCAGAGGGAGTGGGCGGCTGAGAGAATGTGTGTGTGTGAGCGGGAGTGCGTGTTGCGACGGCGACGGGCAGTCCGCTGCATGCCTGCCTGGCTACCCGCCCTCACCCCAACCCACATCCCGGCCTAGGTCCTGCCATACCCACAACAGCCTGCCCACGGCCCCCTCCCTGGCAGCAGCCCCCAGGCCGCTCACGTGCATCCTTCCCACACACGTTGGGGCACGACTGGTCCACAGCTTCCTTGCAGGCGGTCGCCAGCCTGGCATTCAGGCGGTAGTCGCGGGACGCCTTGGCCTCGTAGGCGGCCACCTGCAGGAGGGGGTGGGAGGGTGGTGTGTGTGGTGTGTGGTGTGGTGGGTGGGGGGTGGGGAGGGCAGGGATTGGCGTGGCGTGGTGGGCAGCAGGGCGCATGCAGGGCTGCTGCCAGCCGGGTGCGAGCTCCGCCTTGGAGTGAGAGAACGAAAAGAAATAAAAAGCAACAATAGAACATAGGGCCTGGGCACAGCCGCCGCACCTCGTCGCTGCACCGCTCGCTGACCTCCTCCTTGTGTTGCTCCACAGCCAGCTGCAGGCACCTGCAGGCCGGAATGGGGACGGGAGGGCATGGGGGCAGCATGGGGAGACGCGCAGGGGGGCGGCGATTGCGCGGGCAGGCGCATTGGCGGCCAGGCAGCTGCCGCGGCATGGGGGCATGGAGCCAGAGCCCGGGGAGGGCGGCACAGCCAAGGCCACACACGCGCAGGCGTGCGCTCGCCCAGCCAACCAACACCCCTCGACACAGGCCCTCACGCCAAGCCCCTGCTTGCCCGAACCACTCACCGTATCACGCGCCCCCGCCCGTGCGGCATGCCGCCGCAAAACCGCTCCAGCTCCCGCTGGCATGCCGTCTTGAGGGGCCAGTTGAAATCAATCGATTCAGCCATGGACACTTCTGTGTCGAACAGCATGGCAGCGCAGGCGGGCGCCAGGTCGTCGCGGCGTGCCGCCAGGCAGCGCACCACACCCGCCGCGCCCGCCGCCACCTTGCCGCACAGCCGCGCGCGGTCGGCCTGGCAGGCGTCGGCCAGGGGGTGGTTGAAGGCCAGGTCACGCATGGTGGCGGCGATCACGCGGCGCACGCGCGCGGCGCAGGTGGCGTTAAGGATCGAGTTCCTGCGGCGGAGGAGAAGAGGGGCGCGGCGGCGGCGCGGGGCGGAGCCAGGTGGTGGCAGGGGGCGGGTGGCGGGCAGGCAGGTGGCCGGGGGCGGGCAGGCAGGCAGGTGGTGGGGGCGCGCGCGGTGCCAGGGAGCAGGGCGTGGAGCCAGACGGGAGGAGGGAGGGGGAGGGGCCAGCCTCTCTCTCTCTCTCTCTCTCTCTCCCCTCCTTTCTTTCCCCCTCACACTCTGTCCCACACCCCACCTGCTGCTCTGCAGGCACTTGCCCAAACCCTCCCTCACACAAACTCTTTCTCTCTTCCCGTCCACCTCTCCCACCCCCCCACCCCCAGGGGACGCCCGCCCACCTGTTGTCCTGCAGGCACTTGCCCACGCTCTCCTCGCTGACCGTCAGCGGCGCCCCCAGAAAATCCACGGCCGTGAACAGGGAGGCATCCAGCCCGCACAGGCGGGTGATGTCCTCGCCGCAGTGCATGCGCAGCACAGAGTCGAGGCGGAAGAAGCCTGGGGGGAGCCGGGGAGGGAGGCAGGGGGGGTGAGGGTGGGTGGTGGGAATGGGTGGTGGGGAGGGAGGCTTTGCGGACAGCGGTTGTGATGGGCATGTGGATGTGCCGCCTGGCACCGTCCTCCTCACCTGGACCCTCCCCTCCACCCTCCCCTCCACCCTCCCCTCCCGCTCACGCAATCGCTGCTGCAGCAGGAGAGCCCCAGGCGCCTCCCCACACCGCCACCCCTTTACTCCCCACCCCTCCCTTCCGAAAGCGAGTCACAGCGGCACCACTCACGAGAGCGCTGCTGCAGCAGTCCCTCCATGTGCTCGCGGCAGCCCTCCCCAAAGCCCTCCTCATACCTGGCCGGGCAGGGCGCGGCGGGCAGGCAGGGGAGGTGAGCGGAGGGGGATGCATCCAAGAGCGGCGAGGGGAGGGCTGGCAGGCTGGCAGGCAGGCGGAAAGGCAGGCAGGGCTGCCAGAGGCTCATGCGGGCGGGGCATCGCTTCTTGCGGCGCATGTTGCTGTATGAGCAACGGGCGGCGGCGGCGGCAGGCCTCACAGGTGGTCCTCAAGGCAGTCCTTGACAGACGACTCCCCCGGGGCGATGCCCTCGCAGAACTGAAGGCAGAGGGGGGTGTGGGCAGAAGGGGTGTGGGCAGAGGGGTGTGGGTGTAGGCAGGGTGTGAGTGTGGGCGTGGGGTGATGGTAAGGGTGTGTGTGTGGGCGTGGGCGTGGGGTGCTGGTAAGGGTGTGTGTGTGTGTCTGTTGCCGGCAGGGCCGCCAGCCCCCACCCCGCCCCAGCTGCAGGTAGGCAGGCGGCCTGGCACATGCAGTCGCACGCTGCTGGCAGCAAAGGCAGAGGCAGGCGCCTGCTGTCCCCTCACGTGCCCCACCCTGCCCCCCGCTCGCCTTGCGCTTGTCTGCCAGGCAGGCGTGCATGAGGCCCAGCGACAGCCGCACATCGTCGCTTTCCTCCACCTCCTGCCTGAACAGCTGCGCCTTGCACTCCCAGTCCAGCGAGCCCTCCTTGCCCCGCAGGCACTCCTGCACGGCCGCGCGCGCGGCAGGCGGGGAGGGAGGGAGCAGGGGCGTGAGGTGAGCAGCGGCGGCGGTGCTGCCAGTGGCGCAGCGAGTGGGCGGACATGACACGCCGGCCCCGGCCTTTCCAGCCCGGCCCCACAACCGCCACTGTGTCTGCCAAACCCGGTTGTGCCACCGCCGCTACCACCACCCCACCACCACCCACCCACCACCACCACCACCACCACACCACCACCACCCACGCCCCACCTGCACCTCCCCGCCGCGGAACCCAGCCTCAGGGCACAGCCGGCTCTTGTCTGCGGCGCACGCGTGGAACAGCTTGTAATCCAGTCGGAAGTCGTCTGAAGCGTCGGCCTCCAGCTCAGCGACCAGCGCCTGCAGGGGGAGGGGCGGAGAGGGAGGTGGTGGGCAGGCGTGTGCAGGCGTGTGCAGGGGTGGCAGGTGGTGGCGGCGGCGGTGGTGGTGCACAGGGGTTGGGGGCGGCCGGAATGCGGCGCGTGGCGGCACGCAAGCGTGTGGGAGCGTGTAGGCGACCCGGGCTGATCGCCTGCACCTGGCCGGCGCTGCTGCTGCTGCACGGGGGTGCCGCGAGGTGCCCCGGCCGGCCTCCCCGCCCACCTGGCAGCGCCCGCTCAGCTGGGGGCGCAGCCTGCGCAGGCAGTGCAGCACTCCCGCCTCGTCGTCTGGAGTCACGTCTTTGCAGCGCACATCCACGTCTCTTTTGCAGGCGATGGCTGCGGGCGGAGGAGGCAGGCAGGGGGTGGGCAGGTACGGGCGGGCGTGGGCGTGGCGTGGGCGTGCTCGGGCGTGACGGCAGGCAGCGGCCACGGGCCAGGGCGGGCGGCTGCGGGCTGCAGCGGGTTGCGCCGGCGCGGCGAGCGGCAGGCACATGCGCGGTGCCCAGCGGGACGAGCCGCCCTGCATCAAAACCGACACCAAAAGGCCCCGGCGCTGCGGGGAGCCCTGCCGCTGTGGCCGCGGCTGCACGCGCCAGCCAGGCGCACCCACCCACCCAGGGGCACATTCTTGTTGATGTTGGTGGCAGCATCCACCCTGAACGCATCCAGCTCCTTAGCACAGGCCTCCCCCAGAGCCGCCTCCCGCAGCGGCCCAGGCCCCAGCGCCTCCGCCCCGTCTCGCTCCGCAGACTCCGCCGCCCGCTGCCGGCGCGTGAGGCACGCGGCCAGGCGCCCCGCCCCGGGCTTCAGCGCGTGGCAGGACTGCTTGATGGCCTCCTTGCAGGCGCCTGCGGCAGCGGCGGAGGCAGGCGGCGGGCGGGCACGGCGGCAGCGGGTGGGCAAGGCGGCGGCGGGTGGGCAGCGGGCGGCCAGCGGCAGCTGGGCTTCTGCGGTGCCGTGCGCTGCCGGGCGCAGCGCCCCTGCACCCCTTGGGGGCAGCAGCCGAGCACCCCAGGCACCTGAAGCCCAGGGCCCCAGCAGCGGCAACAGCAGCGCAAGGCTGACTCGCAGGTGGTGGGCTTGCTTGCCAGGGCGAGCAGCACACACCGCCGGCCATAGTTGCCAGCTGCAGGCGCCGCCAGCGGCAGCATGCCTCCCAGCCAGCCAGCCAGCCAGGGTACCACCACCACAGCGCGGGCCAGCCAGCCAGCCAGCCAGCCAGCGATCCGACCCCCCAGCCCACCCAGCCAGCTGCCAGCCCAGCCAGCCAGCCAGCTCCCCTCCCAGCCCCACCCGTGGTCGACACGTCGCCGTCGCCGCTGGCAAGCTCCGCGGGGGCCGCCTGCTTGATGAGTGCATTGACAGCCTTCTTG